TTCATGCAACCACAAAGGGATTAAAGTGTGCTGATATAGATGAAGCAGCTTAAAGTCCAGTAATGTTAAAGGGCTTAAAGATGCTGGAGGTTGGTGGCCTGACTGCCTTCAGGATGAAGTAGGTGGTTTTCCTGAATTCACTGTTGAGGGAATGTTGAGGGTGGTCAGTCTGTGTGCATCATTTATTATTATCACTTATTTCCAAAGACAGCCGCAGCTAGATTGATCAGTCACTGTCTGCAAACATGAGGACAGTCGGACACCAGCCAGGACTCAAAACCTGTGGAGAGAAAAGTAACTAACTCGGGACTTTGCTTCTTCATTTGTTTTTGCCAGTTTGCAGAAAAAACAGATGCTTAAACACAAGAGTTAGCTAGATTATCACATGACCCTCTACCTTCAACTATCCATTGACCAAAATATGTTCTTGGGCTACTTGTTTATTGTTTTTCTGGGTTATATGACTACAATATACATGGGCGCAATCCTTTCATAGAGTCATGCTGTCCAAATAATTAAATCTAATGGATTTATTTAATTTCTAATACCAGGATCAGGCCAGAAAAAGGTTCTTGTAATAATTTGATTTCTAAAACTTAATTTCCAATCTTTGCATCAACTCGTCAGCTCTTCATGCTTTCTGTTTTACTAGATCTGTTGCACTCCCTGTAATGCAACTTGAAGCTTGTCCCTTTCCATACCTATAAATCTGCAAACTCGATAAAACTGAGTGACTTTTGTGCAGGGAAGAAGAGGCTACTAGGTTTATCTCTATGTCCTTCCACTTGTTTCTATTTAAGTTTTTGTTTTACATACGTTTATTAAGAGTATTTTCATCCCTGTGTTTGGAAATTGAACTTCCATGTGGTGAGTGAGGTTCGTTATCTGCAAAATAACAGACGAGTGAACTGTTAACCTTTATTTCAAGGGGAATAGAGTATGAGGATAGGGAAGTCTGATGAATGCTATATAAGGCACAAGCCAGACTACAACTGGAATACAGTGAGCAGTTTTGATCCCCTTAGCTAAGGAAGGAAAATTGACATAGCAGGCAGTCCAAATTGGCCTGCTGTGTTCATCCAGCTCTACACCTTGTTATCTCAGATTCTCCAGCATCTGCAGTTCCTACTATCTCTGCATTAAGTTCATCTTGGGTATGGAGGGATTTTCTTAAGCGGAATGATTGAATAGGTTCGGTTTGTACTCATTGGTGTGTAGAAGAATGCGAGGAGACCATATTGAAACATAAGAAATGCTCAGGGACTTGACAGAATAGATGTAGTGAGGTTGTTTCTCCTTGTGGGAGAGCTTTGACCAGAGGGCATCATGGTGGAACAAGGGGCCGCACAATTTAGACTGAGATGAGGAGGATTTTTATTTGCAGGATAGTGAGTCATGTTTTTGCCTCAACAAAAACAGAAATTGCTGGAGACACTCAGCAGGTCTTTCTTGTCCAATCTTTCTAAATAGCTAATACACTTCAATCCAGGCAACATCCTGGTAAACCTCTTCTGCACCTTCTGCAAAGCCTCGACATCCTTCCTGAAGTGTGGCGACCAGGACTGCACACAAAACTCCAAATGTGGCCTAACTAAAGTTTTATACAGCTGCAACATGTTGCTAACTTTTAAACTCAGTGCCCCAAGACAAGTATACCATAGGCCTTCTTTACCACCTTATCCACTTGTGTTGCCACTTTCAAAGAGCTATGGACTTGGTCCCAAGATCTCTCTGCACATCAATGCACCCAAGGGTCCTGCCATTTACTACGCACTTTCCTGTTGCATTTGACCTTCCAAAATGTATCACCTCGCACTTGTCCATATTGAATTCCGTCTGCCATTTCTCAGCGCAACTTTCCAGCTGAATTATATGCTGCTGTATCCACACTATTCCTCACTATTCACAACTCCACCAATTTTTGTGTTGTTTGAAAACTTACTAATCTAGACCAGAATCTCTTCGCATACATATAGAAACTTTTACAATTAATTTGCATGTTTCCCATAAATTTACTATTGTACTCTACTTTCCCTCTCTTAATTAATCCCTTTGTCCTCCTTTTCTGAAATCTAAACTCCCAATCCTCATGTCCACTGCTTTTTATTTTGGCCAATTTGTATGGCATTTCCTTTGATCTAATACTGTCTCTAAGTTCCCTTGTTCGCCACAGCTGGGCCGTATTTCCCATTTTACTTTTGCGTCAGACAGTAATAAACAATCGTTGCAGTTCCTTCATGCAGCCTTTGAATGCTTGCCATTCCCTATCCACTGTCATCCCTTTGAGTAATGTTCTCCAATCGATCATAGCCAGCTCTGCCTCAAACTATCACAGTTTCCTTTAATTAGATTCAGAATCAACTACACCACTCTCCATCTTAATGAAGAATTTTGTCATGTTGTAGTTATTCATCTTGCAGGGGCTTCACACAGCTAGTTTACCAATTATTCCTTTCTTAACTCCTTTGCAGTTTTAAGTTGAACACTGTCCTTATGAGTAATCACTTTTTAATGTACTTCTGCAGGTCAAGTACATTTTGAATCGCTGCGAATATAAAAGAGGAAGTCCAAACAAATTTGGCATCACCAAACTTTTGGACTCAAAGACATACAGCGCAGCTTACACCCTCCATGATGTAAGTATTATAGAATGTTAATTGGTCCTTGAAACTTGCCAAGCAAAAATTACTGGATGAGGTGAATATATAAATATTATAAAGAGAAAATGCATAATATTGTTAAGCAACATTAGACACTTATTTTGTGGACACAATAGGGATGGTTCTGTTGCCATAAAGAGGTATAGGGTGGATTTAGTGTGGCCAGTGCAGCACAAAGTATTGCACCTAGGTCCACCTCACCTGTGAGAGATATCACGAGTTAGTTTTCCAGCAGTGGGCAATCCTGAAGTGATTAAGCAGTGGGTGAGAAGTTGTTAATCTTGCACAAGTAACAGATGCCTTTGGTTTGTTTGTTGGATAGAGTCAAACACGAATGTTTGTTTGTTTCCTTGATATGCTACTGGACAGAATGGAACTGTGTTTGTGACTATATATATTTATGACTAAAGTATATTTTTGAAATAAAAAGTTGTCAATTAAGCTCATTATTGATATCAGTTAATCCAGAGCCTACCAGAATTTAATGGTGCTCACGTATTAGGTGTAATTGATGCAGCCCTCCTATGTTTGCAGAAGGTCACTAGGCACTGCAGCTTTCCTGGAAACGGGGCTGGTCCCTTCATTGAGTGGCATTTAGAGTCCACCTAAGGAATCTGCCATTCAGCAGGGACTAGCCACCGAAAGCCACCTCCTGACTTTGCCTCTGATTACCCCTTCGCCCACCACACAGTCCTGCGAACCCAATCCCATGAGCTCCATTCTGCCGTCACTCACGTTTGGTGTAGTGACTCTCCAAGATCCTGCCTAGCAGATGCATTACCTGCAGCCATCATTGCCCCCGTTGGCACTAACAACATTGAGGAGTTGCCAGGTTTAGATGGGCTGGAAGCTCTGGGTGTGTTGGATTTTTAATCCCCAGATCCTGTGTGCTGAGCAAGCCCAAAAGGTGGCTGGTTAAGGGCAATTAAATCCACTGGGCTTCTTTTGACAGGTGTTCAGTTTCACTTCACCAATCAATGACCACAACCCCTTCACCATTAAAACATAGGAGCAGATGTAGGTCCTTCAGCCCATTGACCCATCATTCAATGAGATCATGGCTGTTCTCCTATCCGCAACTCCACTTTCCTGCCTTTTCCCCATAACCCTTAATTCCCTTACTGATTAAAAATCCCTCTATCTAGAATGAGAGATGATCTCATTGAAACATACTGGATTCTTAAGGGGCCAGACAGGGTAGATGCTGAGAAAATGTTTCCTCTCATGGGAGAGTCCAGGACCAGACGATGTCAGTTTAAGACTGAGATGAGGACAAGTTCCTTCTCTCAAAGGTTTGAGAGTCTTTGGAACTCCTTGTCACAGAGAGCTGTGCGGGCAGAGCCCTTGTGTATATTTAATGCTGAGATAGAGTCATGAAGAATCATTGGAATTAAGGGTTATAGGGAAAGGGCAGGAAAGTGGACATGAGGAATGTTGGATCAGCTGTGATCCTATTGAATGGCAAACCAGGCTCAAAGGGCTGAACAGTCTACTCCTGTTCCTATTTCTTAAGGTCTTAAAGAATTGAGTGATTGAAATGTAAGGTTTTTCTAAGATATCTTAATTATTTTAAAATTATAGGCATTTAGAGATATTTATTTTAACAAAAGAAACACTCATTTTGTCCCTTCTTGTAAAAGTACTGACAGCTATTTGGATACTGTTCTTCCCTCATGCAAGAGACCTAAGTATCTGTTGTTAATATGTCAACTGGATAATAAAGGTGATTTTTATCTCACACTTGAATGTGAATAGGCAGTTGTACAGTGCAAAAGCAGAAATTGCTGGAGAAACTCAGCAGGTCTGACATTATCTATGGGAAGAAAGCAGAGTTAATGTTTTGAGTCTGGTGACTGATTAGAACTATTTCGCGGGGAAACTTCTGTTCAGCTTCAGGTCTCCAGCATCTGCAGTTCTTTGTTTTGCAGTTGTATAGTGCACATAGGGAGAAGTCAGTGATGTGGTGGTTGAGAGGTTAAGATGATGCGCTGTTGATCCATTGAGTTCTGCACACAACTACTGTTGTAATGCAATGTTAGCATCCCTACCCCTATGCTAGGAGACCCAAATTCAAGTCCCACTGCTCCAGAGGTGTGTAAATGCGTCACTGGACAGGCTGATTGCAAAATATATAGTTATTTGCCCATAGAAGTGTTCTCCCAATTATCTGTCAATTAAAGTCTGTCCTTAAATATCAGCAAGGAATTTAACAGTGGACCACTATCGTCTGGCCAATCCCGTTCTCGTACGGTTAGATATTATGCAGAAAATTTCAGAAGAATGTGACCACAAACTCGACAAAATATGAATTCTGGTATATGAATAAAGTCTGATATTTACCTGTCTCTTTTTCAGTGTAAATTCAATCAGAAATCATCAGACCCGTTATGCCCCAATGAGAGGTACCTTCTGTATGAGGAGTGGGGTCACCCCAAGAATTTTTACAAACTGCAGCCTCTGGATCTCATCAGGTACTATTTATAATAATTCAGTCATGCTCACCAGCTAATTCCCCCTAATTTCCATTTGCTGTGCGTAGCCCAGTTGATGCATACAACACGCAAGTGTGTGCATGGTCTGTTTGTCCCCTGAGCAAACGATTGCAAATTGAAATGAATTTTATTCACTAGGAACTGTTCCAAAGCTGTTCAAATTGAATTTGTGCAATAAAGAAAGAAAACAAGAACTCAAAGCTGAAAGAGCAATCTGCTTTTGGTGCTTTCTCCACAGATTATTGCTACCAAATACCTTGGGGGTTCTGCATCAGTTGATTCCAGAGTTGAGAGGGTTGGATTATGAGGAGAGACTGAGTAGACTGGGATTATACTCATTGGAATTCAGAAGAATGAGGGGAGATCTTATAGAAACATATAAGATTAGGAAGGGAATAGATAAGGTGGAGGCAGGGAGGTTGTTTCCGCTAGCAGGTGAAACTAGGACTAGAGGGCATCGCCTGAAAATAAAGGGAAGCAGATGTAGGACTGAGGTCAGGAGGAACTTCTTCACCCAAAGGGTTATGAATCTGTGAAATTCCCTGCCTAGTGAAGCGGTTGAAGCTACCTCACTGAATGTTTTTAAGGCAAGGCTAGATAAATTTTTGAACAGTAAAGGAATTAAGGGTTATGGTGAGTGGGCGGGTAGGTGGAGCTGGGTCTCAAAAAGATCAGCCATGATCTTATTAAATGGCGGGGCAGGCTCGAGGGGCCAGATGGCCTACTCCTGCTCCAAGTACTTCTGTTCTTACGTTCTTATCACATTTAACGCGCCCCCCTGCCAATATGGTTATCAGTACAATATTTGGACTTGTGCACGTATGTCTGGGATTGGATTCATCTGCCATCATCACATACACATCCATTGGCTTGATAGGATGCTACATCATTGTTTGTTAAATTAAGTGCAATGTTGTGCCTGTGTTAAATCCAGGAGTTTGTATGACATTTTAGTATTAGCGGAGAGAAATAAAATCATAGGGAAAATCACAAGACCTCTAATATGGGCAAGAGAAAAAAAAATCAAAGCCTAGTCTGTGGCTTTTACAATAGTTCATTCATAACAAAATGAGATCCAGATTTGGGATCAGATTTTGGGACCGGATTGGCAACATATAATCTGAGGTACTTGCATTGAAATGAGTTGATAATTGGTTTACCTGAAAATTCAAGACTAGCTAATTTTTGATATAAATTTAATGATGAAAATGCAGCTCTTCACATTTTATGGAAATTAAAATATATTCATGTTCTGCACATGTTACATTTCAACAAGTTTTAGTACACTAATCAAGAATATGGGAAACTTGAGTGCATTTGAGTTATGTAATTGTTTAATTTTTTTCTAAGCTACAAAAGATTTTCAGAGCTTCCCAGCAATGTTTCCTGGAAATCATCAGGAACCACGGCTACATTTCTTCATTCTCATTTGTCACTCTTTAGCTCATAGATGTGGCAGACTCTGCTTAACACCTTCCTGTTGAGATGATGACTCAGAGAGTGAAACTGTGGGCACACTCACCACAGCGTTGTAATGCCTCAGTGGAAAAAAACTTGTTTGACCTGTTTCAAGGGGGAAGAAGAATTTAAACCCAGCCAGAGAGGATTAACAATGTAAACAAAATAAAGAGTGCCAATCTCCTCTGTACTTCCTAGCTGCTGTATTTGTAGAACAAGTTACATTCCATGTCAGTCCCACTTTTGAGAAATAAGTTGGGGAAACTTATTTTAAATTTAATGCCCGTTGGGCTGAGTTTCCCAGGACTTGTAAAACTAAGCGCTGACTTTAATAGAGATAGTAGGAACTGCAGATGCTGGAGAATCCGAGACAA